TCCCATTTTAATCATTTTAAAACCTCTAGAACCCAAGATTGGAACATTTTTAAAGACAAGCATAGAAAACTCAAATTGCTTTACAGAGTCCTAGTTTCTGTTTGACCTCACGGATGAAGCCTGGTCCCAAGAAAGATAGAACATGGACTATGAGATATATATGGGCCACGAGAAGGACAGGAGAAGAGGTAGATTAAGATCTTACTTGGCAGTTTATCTGTTCTTAGATTCTTACTAGAAATTTGATAAGGAATATTATTTACAGAAACCTACTATGTAGTTTGATTAGTAAATTGATTGTTTTAAGAGACTTAGATTTTCAAAGAAACCTAAAATTTTATGGTCAATAAGAAGTTTAGAAATGTTCCAACCAACTAGCAAGCTTCCTTTATAACTAACTAGAAAGTCCAAAGTAATCTTGGCAAAACCAACTGAGCCTGATCCCAGAAGTCTCGGCACGTGAATTTAGAGGAAGAAAACACCTCCTTAAAGTGGAGAACACTCTCTTCAGCTTACTTTACATCCAATTATTACAGTGACTGGTAAATAGTGAGTTAGGTGTCTGACTAAAGCATAAAAAGCAGAAAAATACCAAATTTTTAAATTATCCAAGACCTGATTCCAGATACTTGCTTGAATTCCTTACACAGGCACAAAGATCAGATTCACAAATCTATTTGCATAAAATGGGAAAAGGTAAGGTAAGTATGATAGAGGACAAGAATAGAAAAACTGAAAAAGAGGTGTCCACAAGACCAAAAACCTGGCTCACAAAATGCCAAGAGTTGGAGGTGTGGGTAGAAGGGATTAGCATAGCCATTGACACAGCTATGGAAACCAAGATCCTCAGTCTCCAATGCCTAGATTACAAAGTATAACACCCAAGCAGGTACAAAGATATGGAGATTGAGCCTATTGTAGAATCTCTGGTCACTTTTAGATTCTACATAATTATCCAGAATCAGCAACTAACCCGAAGGCTCACAAGGGGTGAATCCCTCCCAAACAGAAGACAACTATATCCATTCAGTCTCTGCACAGGCTCCGGGCAGCATTCCGTCTGCCCACCTGTGCCTAAGCAGCTTCCTCTTTTCACCAACTCTCTCCCTCTGCAGGGCAGCAGCCTCCCTGCCTGCCCATGACCTGTCTCTCTCTGGGCCCTCTCCTCACTGAGCTCCCTCAGTGGAGGCCACTCCCCTCAAAGCCACCCGCCTGCAACCACGCAGACCTTTCTCAGCAAACCTGTCCCTTCTGGGGCAGCTGTTCCTGCCCGCTTGTGTCTCCTTTACTTTCCTGTCCCCTTTCCCTAATAAACCTGCCCTTTCAATATAACTAATGTCTCTGTCTCGTGGAGAAACTCGCCTGGGAAGCTTGCTGCATGTCTCTGAAACAGGAGCTCTGGTAACACCCTTCCCAGAGTAAACCCAACGACCCCGCACTCCAGACCCACTAACTCCAAAAACAATATCAAGTAGAAGCCCTGGTCCAGGCCCAGTTTTCTCGTTGGAACAATTCCAGTCCTTCCAGTCATCTGCCAATGTCCTAGAAGAGTCAGAGTTATCTTAGATTGCCTAAAGCCAAAGCATCTGAATTGACATGGAATGTCAGGGTAAGATTTTAGAAGAGCATAGATAAAAGGGACTCATAGGTGAGCCGGCCAATGTGGAAAAAGGAGAGTTTATTGCCTGGCTTTTGTGTTAACAAAAAAAAAAAAAAAAAATCAGTCTGTTCCCCGCTATCAGTTGTTCCTGGGCTCCTGCAGGGAAACAGTGTTAGGAGCTGCATTTTAGACATAGGTTTGTAGTTACAGGTCGACCACTCAGTTAATATTTTCCCCAAGGGTCTTTCAGATGAAACAAATATGGCACCTCTCATAAGGTTAACTAAATCCCTGGCTTCCAAAAAAGAAACAAACAGGAAACACCAAATACCAAATAGACATCAAGTAAAAAACACCAAATGTTTCCCAATTCCCACTCAACCCGGCCTAACACACCAAAGAGCGCTCCAAATTGAGGGAGACTCATAGACTCCCTCCCAAATGAGGAGACCTGAACTCCCCCCTCCGCGAGGGGACTCAGATTCCTCCCGAATGTGTGAAGGCCAAGGTCTTGGCGTGCACGCCAGGGGAACTTACACCAAACGCCAGGGGACCGCGGTTTTCCATCCAGTTTCCATCTCCTCAAAGGTAACTCCAGGGTGCAGAGAAGAGCTGTGCCTCTCCTCGAGGAGGACTTGGGACGTTCCCCGGAGGTAAAAGAACTCCGGCAGCTGCTGGGACTCTCCCTCATCCTCCTGGAGAGAGGGTGCTCCCTCTCAGCAGGAGGGTCAGGATGCCACCCGGGATGCCCAGGCCCCTCTCTGACAGCACAGACCAGCATAGACAGGTGAGCCTGGTGCGCTGCAGCAGGCAACAGCTCCGTCAGTTGGAAGTCAGAGTTGGGGTTGGGAGAGCCAAAGTGGCATCCACCTCCTGGCTGGCTCGCCAAAATTGTTACTGAACACCGCCTCAGTTTCCTTCAGCCAATAAAAGGAAACTGAGTTTGAGGAAAAGGAAAGCGGTTTTATTTGTCGACAAATGAGGAGGGCGGCAGACTCATGTCCGAAAGACCACCGTCCTGCTCTTTGGCAGTGGGCAGGGGTGTTTATACAGGGGGAGATGGGTAGGGGTACGCGAAGGGGAGGGGGAAGGGGTCCGCACAGAGACAAGTGGGCGCCAGCTCAACAGGGAGATGGATGGGTGTCAGCTCATTCATCTTAAGGGAAGGGGAAGGTGTCAAGGCACAGAGACGGGTAATCACCAACTTGTTTTTCTTTGGGTGAGGGGGAAGGGTCTGCAGGGAAACGGGTGGGCGCCAGCTTGTTCTTCTTCCCAAGGGGAGGGGAAGCTGCAACAAATGGGAAAGACAAGCCATCAATCCTGCCAATGCTAGATAAGGGGAATTGCAAGAAATTGGGAAAGGCAAACTTGTTAACTGTATCAGGAGCATCAGAGACTGTGAGGAGGCCTGAGGCTGGGAGAGCTCCCTGAATTGGAGGAGTCACCTGAGTCAGGAGGGGGCCCCTGGGAGAGCAATGGGAGGGGTTCAGAGAGGAAAGAGGAGGCCTGGGAGACCCTCTTTTAAGCAGAGGGGGTCCCCTGAAGGGATGAGACAGGGAGATGACCTGAGCTAACTGGAGAGAGTCATGGTCTTGGAAGGAAATAGATTGGGGGAGGTGAGGCTGGAGGTGAGGTGGGGTGACCCTTGGGCCAAGTGAGAAATGAGGGTGATGTGGAATAGGTGCTGGTCATAGATATGGATTGAACAGTTGGGTTCATTGGCAGTAGACTGGGTTGGGGAGTGGACTGTGAGGATGACCCTGGAGTCTCTGGCAGAGATAACTGGGTGGACACAGGTGCCCTTCCCTGAGAAGGGAAAACCACAGGAAGTGAGGGGGTGGGGCAGCCCAGGCTCCCTGGTTTCCTTGGGGATATAGAATCAGGCCTTTCCTGGTGACCCCGTGTCCTGGAGGGACAGTGTCTGGTCACTGTAACCAGGTCTCGGGTGACATTAACATCTGAACAAGCCGCAGGCCCCGTCCATGCAGCGTGGGCAGAACCAGGTCCTGGCAGCTCCTGGTGCCCAGTGCTGACTCCTGGTGTCCAGGGTGTGGGGGCTCCTGGGTCAGCTGCTTGAGGAGAAGAAAACAGATCCCCTAGGGGCTCCTCACAGGCTCTGCCACGTGGGGTGAGAGCTACCATGGAGTCACTGAGTGCTGCAAGCCTGCCGTGGCAGCCTGGGTGTCAAGGGTTCCTGAAGGATGGGAAGGCGGTGGAACAATTGTAGAGAATGATGAGGGAGGGGGAATGTGGAGATGCAAACACTTGATCAGGGTGCTGACATCATCCTGCTGAGGGCCTCAGCAGTTCTTTGTTTATACTAAGCAAATCGTGAGTGCATAAGCATATGCATTGAGGTAGGAAGATAACAATCATCACATGTTTTTCAAGAGCAGCCAAAGGTCTGTTTGCCCTCCTGCAGAGGTTATGACATTTATTATTCTTTGTCTTAAAGAAGGCACAGTTGCTAAACAAGTGTTCTTAAAATAGTTATTTACTTTAAACAACCCAACAGTTATTATATTACTAGCAAAAAGCCTATGTGACTGCAACTAACATTTCTAAGTTTGCCATGGTGAAGGATTAACTAAGGGCTAGGGGAAACAAAGGGCAGGAGGTTACCTGGGGGACAGGAGACAAAGGGATATTTTCTAACTAACCTATAAAGTTTAGACTAACATATAACCAAATGATTAAAGCAAAAAACAGAAGGTTATTATAAAGAAATCATCATCTATAGTATATTGTTTTAATATTGATTCGATATCAAGGAAACAAGGGCCTGGAGGGCGTTAATACCAGGCAAGCTTCACTGACTCTTCCCTAGCCCCCAGCTCTCAATTGAGGGAGGAATTCTCCTAATCTAACAAAAGAGTTTTCTACCTATAACTCCTCTATTTATCTAGTCAGCCGATCATGGGAAATTTCCATTCTCTGTAAGATTGCTGGTTGTTGTTTTAAGGAACTACAGATATTTCATCAGGGACAGGGCCAGAGATGGTTATAGCTTTTGGTTTTCGAAATGTTTAATATGTGACATATCAGTAGTTGTAACATTGACTATTTCCAAATGCATTATTTGTGCTGCCATGTTTATTAGCTTAACCAGTAACAAAACTGTCGTTGACTTATTCTCGAATGCATACTCTAACAGCTACCATATCAATTGTTACATCCAGGGGAATTAGCCCTAAACAAACAGGAAAAATTTAGCAGAAGCTGGCTATGGGCCTCCTGGCTTAACAGGAATTTTCTTAAAGACTTTCATGGAGAGATGTTTATAGCCTTTTGTTCCCAGAAGTTTTTTCACTTTGTTAATGTAAGGCCAAATGTTGAATTACTGCCTTTTGGCAGAGAACTACTAATTTTATAAAATATGTAATATTTGTATCATGTTGTGCCATTTGCCATCAAATTGGCTGTTCAGTAATTGATTAAACAGTATTTGCAGTTTTATTTTTAAATGTGTATTTTAACAATGGTAAAAACTAGCCATAAACAAATGAGGAGAATCTAGGAGTCAGCTAAGGAGATTCCTGACTTTTCAGAAATCTGCCCCATGCCCAGACCTTTGTCAGATGACATGAGTAACGTGACTCCCAGTAACTGGGGTGGTCACCATTGGGCACACACACGGGGCTCAGAGTCAGTCCTGACTGTGCCCCACACTCACCCCTAGTTCTGGGTCTCAGAGCCAAGCAACCTGGAGCATAGTGAATGCCCAACAGTGGGTGCTGGGTGGGGGCCTCCCCCTGTGCCTGTGGGGTTTCAGGGTGCCTGCCCCTCCCCTCTGCTGATGCATCTGATCTTGCTTTTTCCTGTTTCAGGAAGGAAGTGCTCCCTCGGGTGCACTGTCTAGAGGACAGGGTGGAGGCTGCTGGGATTGCATTTTAAGCTTTCACTTTCAGATAGTGTCTGAGCCAGAGAAGTGTGATTGCTTTTTAAGAGAAAATTAGGAGGATCCCAGGGATCCTACCTCTGGTGAGACACCCCTCAATGAATGTGGAACTCTGCCTGTCTACTCTCTTGAGAACCATCTTCTCTGAGGCCCCCTTGGCGCCCAGCAGGGCTCCTGAGCAGCTAACAGCAGGTGCTAACTCTGTAAGAAGATTTGGGGAAGCACTGAAACTTCTCAAGTTCTAAGGGACACCCTGGAAACCCCACTAGTTCAAAGCAGGTATGTCAGTTTTGAAGACATGTTTCTTTTAAGAAGAGGAAAGTGGGGAGCAGCAGGCTGTAAGGAGGGGTTGAGAAGGTGGTGGGGCTTGGATGGACTGGGAGGTGGCACAGGAAATGGTGCAGGTCTAAGAGGACCCAGCACAACCTCACCGAAGATTGTACTTCACTTATTTTATTTTATTTATTTTTTTAAAGATTTATTTATTTATGCATACCAGAGCTGGGGTACAGGCCAGAGGTGTGGTGGGGTGGGGGTGGGGGATTAGAGGATTCACCAGAGACAGAGTGGGGAACAGAACAGGCAGACTGAGTGAAATACACTGCTGAGGAGAGCAGCAGATGAGACAGGAGAAGTCTGCTGCACACTTCACTTATTTTAATAATGTGCCTGTAACATTCCTGGGGCAGGACCCTGTTCTAGAACTTTAGGTAGTGACTCTTCAAATACAATTTATGTAATTCTCATTCCAACCTTGGTTGGGAGATACTGATACTGTTCCCATTTCTGTGGGGAAAGTGAGGCAGGAGGGTTAAGTGACTTGATGAAGATGGTCACACAGAGAGTGGCTGAGTCTAGAGATGACCTCAGAGTCAGCCCCAGAATCTGCCCTCCCAGGACCATCACCTGCCTCCCCCCAACCCCAGTCAGTATGTGGTTTGAGGGTGTTTTCTCTGAGCAGGACTCATTTCCCTTCTCTGCTTCTCTGTCTCACTGGGTCCCTCACCATGAGGCAGAAACTCCCCAGAGTTAGAGAGGACAAGGACAAAGCCCTCAGTGGGGATCTGACCTGGCTCCTGCTGTGTTTGGGGCAGGACCTTGACCTTAGCCCTGGCAGGTCAGGTCTGGGGAGGGACTGACCTTCAGGTGAGCTGAAAAACTAACAGAGCACTGCAGGAGCCTGTGAGGGGACCTCGACTCCTTGGGGACAGTGTCGTGTCATGTGTCCTGATGCTTCTCAGGGACACCTGCTCACACTGAGTGCACAGGACAAAAGCAGGCACTGGTCTGTCCTTCATGGGGGGCCTGGGTCTCTTCCTCTATTCTGGGGAGTCACTGGGTGTGATGATGAGGAGGGGAGGGCAATTTGCAACCAGTGAACAGAATGGTGAACAGTCTGGGAATGGAGGGGCCTGGTGTTCTGAGTAGAGTGGGTCTGGGATGTGGATTCCACAGGGTGGGAAGCGAAGGGAGGATGTTTTTCTCCAATAAACCTCATTGTCTCTAGCAGCACAGAGGCTCAGAAGCCCTGAGACAAGCCAGGTCTGCCCTTCTCGGTCTCAGGGTCGAAGGGGTCCCTAGGAACGGCCCTGCTCCCCCCCCTCCCCATCCCACAGCTCCAGGCTGCCCTGATCCTCTGTGTGGGCCTGGCTGCCTCCTGCCCTGTTTCTCCCCAGCCCTGAGGAGATGGCGCCCTGCTCCTGCCCCAGCTCTGTGCTCTGCCTCCTCCCCTCCCTGCTGCTCTTCCTCCAGCTGCCCCCTGGGGGGTCCCCAGGTGAGTGTGTCCTTCCCTGTTCCTGTGTCTCCCTCGGGTCAGTGGGGCCCAGGAGCTCTGGGAGCTCCTCCTTCAGGAATTTCCTTTGTTCATTTGTCTTTGCTTAATATCTTCAAGTTCCATCCATGTTGTTTTAAATGCCATGATTTTACTTATTAAAAAAAAAAAAATCAGTGGGCCAGCCTGGTGGTGCAAGTGGTTAAGTCTCAGCATTATCAAGCTATCACCAGCCACTGCAGCAGGAGTTTCATCCCTGGCCAGGGAGCTGATCCACACAACTTGTAGCAGACTTCTCCTGTCTTGCTAACTGCTCCCCTCAGCAGTCTATTTCTGTCAGTCTTCTTGTTCTTCTCCCCACTCTGTCTCTGGTGAATCATCTCACACCACCCCAGCACTTCTGGCTTACAGCTCAGCTCTTATATGCATACATAAATAAAAATATTTTTTTTTAAATCTGAGTACTATTTCATTATGTGTTTGTGTGTGTATATGTAATGTTACTCTATTTCTTTGAATGAGTCTCTGTACCTGTCTCTCTCTTCAAATTGTGGAATATCCATTATGCTTATGTTGCCTTTCTTCATAGATTGGTTAGTTCTTCCAGTTTTTCTTTATTTTTCTCTTTTTTCTTCTAATTCGGTCCATTGTTCATTATTATCGTGAGGTCTCTGATTTGATCTTCCATTTGGTCTATTCTGCTCCCATAGATTCTCCAGGAGTGAGTAGCTTCTCTGCTAATATTTTTACAGCCCCCATTTCTGTGATTTTAATTTAAAGCTTCAATTTCTATTTTCTTTTTACTCATATTATTTTCCAAGTCATTCATTTATTGTTCTGAATTTTGTTTTTCTCTGTAATTCACTTTTCTGAGTTTTCTCCATTTCTTTGACTTTATTACGGCAATTTGAACTCTACTTGATAGTAAGATATGATCTTCCATATCTTTGTAGTTACATACTGCAGAGTTGCTGTTGTCTTGTGATTTCATATTCCCTTGAGATCTCAAGTTTCTGGGGCTTATTGTACTGCTTTAAATTTCTTGTTTTTGAAAAAATGCATCTGTAGAGGTAACTTAGAGAGTTGAACTACTTCTTGCTTTCCATCAGGTGACCCTGTTGTGTTTTTAGATTTGTAACTTATGTAGGACTAGAGACCTGATCCTTGAGATGCTGAGTCAGAGACTGTGGGGCCTGCAGTCATCCAGCCTCTGGGGTGGGTGCTCTGGCTGGGGCATGTGATCTCATGTGTGTGGCACCCCTGACACCCGCCTCTCCCAGTTCAGCCCTGAGACTCCGCCCTGTGCACACTGTCCCTGAGCTTCAGGAGAGCGGGGCCAGTCCTGAATGGGGAGAGGGGATGCTCTGTGCCTCCAGCTCTGTGCCTCATTTCTTCACTGGGGACCTTGTTAGCTGGGAGCACCCAGTCAGAGCTGTGAGCCCCTCACTGTCAGCTTTCCCTGCCCAGGGCCACGTGCCTGGTTTTGTAACCACCGCACTGTGTGCTGTGGCCTCCCCGACCCTGACCACAGGCTCCAGGTGTCTCTCTTGTCCTAAAACTCTTGGTCAGTGAAGCATGACTCCCCTCTTTGCCCCTTTTTGTGCTGTCTGCCTGGTGACTGCTGTATGAGAGTGTCCAGTTGTCTCTCAAGCCTGGTGTTCTCTGGGTGTCCTGTCCACTCATTCACATTGATGATCCTCTATGCAATGAAATACATTTCCTTAGTCACCTTCTTAGTCCCTCAAGAACTCTTTTGAAATGGACGTTCTTGGGCACATCCCAATCTGCTGCATCAGGCCTGGGGTAGGGTCCCTGCATTTTACAACTACAAGCCCTCCTGGAGATTGTGATGCTGAAGGTGAGAACCATGGAGTTAGAGTTTTTATGGAAGGTCCTGCTATCTGGGACACTAGTGAATGAGGGAGCATCTTTGACATTATTTCTGGACCACAAGTTGTGGTTGGGAGATCTTTCCCAGATTCAGATTTGTCACTCTTAATCTTTCATGTCAGCTGTCTGCTCATAAGACACCTTCCCTCAGCCTGCCTGGGTCTCCCCCAGTGTTCCCTGATGGTGTGTGTTCCCTGATATGACTGTGTCTCTCAGCCTTTCTAATGCCCATGTCTGTGTTCACAGAGAGGTTCCGTGTGTTTGGCCCCTTACAACCCATAGTGGCCGAGCTGGGCAAGGATGTCACACTGCCCTGCTCCCTGTACCCAGCCATGAGTGCAGAGAACATGGAGTTGAGGTGGTTCCGGTCCAATATCGTGGAGTCAGTGTTCACCTATCAAGATGGACAGGAACGACATGAGGAGGTGATGGCCCAGTACGCAGGGCGGACCTCACTGGTGGGGAAATTCCTCAGTGAGGGGAAGGCTGCTGTGCGCATCCACAGGGTCCAGGCTTCTGACAACGGGCTGTACACCTGCTTCTTCAGCAACAGAGACTTCCGTGGGCAAGCCAGATTGGAGCTGCAGGTGGCAGGTTGGTGACATGATTGAATAACTCAGAGTCCTGGAGTTTTGTAATTGGGTTGAAAATAAGGGCAATGCAATTTAGTTTTTCTTTTCTTTATGAGTAAAAAAAGCCTTATTCATTCACGTTTTATGAAATGTAAATATACAGGGTACCTACCACATGTCTGGCCCTGTTCTAAATACTTGGATACAAAAGCAAATATAATAAAGTTCTTCACTCTGTGAGTTTATATTTGTGGTGGGAGAGAGAGCAATTGTAATAAATAACCAGGGCATAAATGGCATTTTGAAGTGAGAAGGGATAAGGACAGGAAGGTAAATGGAGCAGGGAGATGGGTCAGCAATGTGGGGTGGAGCTGAGGGGAGGTTACAGAAATATATAGCAGCTCAGGCTGGTGCCATGGGAGCAAAGACTCCATGGAAGTAGGATCATAGATGAGTAGATACCTGATGTGTGGATATTCCTTTCTCCCCAGTTTTTAGACAGATAATTACTAAGTATCATATGTAATGTGAAGCATACAGCATAATGACTGATTTGTATATATAGTGAAGTGATTGCCACAATAGGTTTAATCACATCTGTCTGCTATTATAGGTTTAATAAAAAGAAAGAAAAAGGAGCAAAAAGGGGAAAATTTCCTCATCATCAAAAAAAAAAAAAATTCTTTGGAGTTTGTCCTTTAACAACTTCCCTACATGGGCTTCCCCGGTGGCGCAGTGGTTGAGCGCTGGGTTGCGAACCTGCCCGCAGCCTCTGCAGCACCGGTTTGATCCCTGGCTGCTCCCCGGGCCACTCGAGGAGGGTCCCACATGGCGCGCAGACCTCTCCTGCCGCCCACTGCTCCCCTCAGCAGTGTACTTCGGTCCTTCTGTCTGCTCTGTTCCCCGCTCTGGTTCTGGTGAATTCTCTCACCCTCCCACGCTTCTGACTGTACCCAGTGCTTGTATAAATAAATAAATAAAATCTTAAAAAAAAATTCCCTTCATATCACTCAACAATGTTGGCTACCGGCATGTTTTACATTACAGGGAAGGGAATTTCTATATGGAGGCACAGCCCATGTGAATGACCTGTGGGGAGTGTGTGTTTGGTGTGTGATCTGCTCACATGGAGTCCTCATGGCTGGTGGGAGAGAGTGAGGAGCAGGGTGTTGTGAGGTGACAATACTCTCATAAAAAATGTGTTGAGTATATGGCAGAGAGTTCAAGGGTGGCTCCCAATGGTAATCAGAAACTCCTCCAAATGTGTAGATATTTGAGCTGGGATGTTATTTTATCTAACAGGGTTCTATAAAGCCCCTCAGGCCAGATGCGGAAAGGACGATGGAGTCCACAGAGCCTGCTGATTGTGGACAACAACAGTTAAATTCTATAGTTTGGGGTATTGGGCCTTGAGGGCCAGGGTGTAAAAAGTGTGATTAATGCAGAGAGAAGAGGGCTAGAGAGGAGTCACAAACAGAGTCACTGGTGCGCATGTTGTGGTGATTGTATGTGGAGCTATTGGAGATTTTCAGCACAGCAGCGCTTGGCATGGTGACTCTGGCAATAGTGGGGAGGAAAAGGGCAGAGACAATATCTGGAGTTGTGGTTGCAGTTACGGGGTGGAGAGGGGGCTGGTTCACACAGTGTTGGTGGGTGCACAGGAGGTGCCCTCATGTAGATTTAGAAATAACCCAATTGAATGAGGAGAATTGGGTCACAGAATTTAAAGAAGAAGGGATTGCAGAGGCTTCAGAGGCTTTGTAGAGTCTGTTTGATATTTAATGTCAGGAACATTAATAATTTGTATCAGTTACCTGTCACCATAATGCTGCTGTGTAACAAAGAACCACAGAAAAAATCTCTCAGTGGCCTGTAGAAATGGACTTGTATTAACATGGGCTTGTGGGGACTTCAGCTAACTGGGATGGACTTGACTACTTGCCATTGAACTTACTCCTAAATTTTTTGGTCAGATGAAAAGGTCACCCAGTGGACCTTGGCTGGGCTTGTTACATGAATGGTCATGGGCTCCTGGCTGAGGGAGGCCCGCTTCAGGGGAAATGCTGGTGACAGGCCCTGCTCTACCAGAACTACAATATTCTTCCGTGGAGATGGCAGAGGGAAGACCTCTGAGGCCAGCACTTTAAACCTCTGCTGAGTCACATGAGCTGATCTCTCATTAGACAGATGAAGTCACATGACTGAACCCAGAGTCAGAGTATGAGTAAAATGTACCTGGCAGAGTGTGAGCCTGATATGAAGAAGGGTGAAGAATTAGGAACATTTTTATTACTAATTTACCTCAGGTGAGACAACAGCATGAGTTCAGATGTAGAATTTTGGGTGTGAAGAGCATGTGAGGAATCCTGGCAGATGTAACCCACAGGGATGGGGCTATCAGGGAGGGAGATGGGGGTGCTGGTGAGGTGATAGCTGGAAGTGATATATGAGGAGACACAGAAGCTGAGGGAGAAGAAGTTCTGGGAGAGGGTGTGAGATATGATGGGATTTAAGGACTGGACCCTGGGACTGTGCTGCCTTCAAGGAGCAGGTGCAGGGAGAAAAGTCAGGAAAGGGGCTCAGGAGTGGCCCAAGTTACAACAAGCCACCCTCAGAGGGAAGTGACCAATCCAAGATGGAGTTTGTTTCAAGGTTAGGTCGGAAGTTTCCTGACTGAAAGGAGACTGAGTGAGAGGAACTTGGAGACTGGTGTTGACAAATGGGAGACTTTTGTTGAATCACAGAATGGACTAGGAGGAAAAGCTGCCAGATGGAGGCTGAGATGTTGGTGACAAATTAGAAAATACAGCTGTTCATGGATTATAAGGTATCCTGTTCTAACAAGAAAAGAATTCTACAAAGACTTGAACATGTTTATATAATTATAAAATTATAAAAATAATAAGTAGAAAGGTAGAGATGAACATGTCAGGTCATCATCTTGCTCCCCCAGGGATGGTCTCCCCCAGATCCCCCAGGATGCAGCTTGACAGCCTCTCCTGAAGTGTGCATAGGTAGGTTCTGACCCACCTGGCTCTCATCTTCCCTCCGCAGGTGTGGGCTCTGTCCCCCAAGTGCACATCTCAGGGCCAGAGGAGGACGGGGTGTGTGTGGTGTGCATAGCCTCAGGCTGGTTTCCAGAACCCCAGGTGCAATGGAGACACCCCCGTGGGGAGCAGTTCCTGGAGTTCTCCAAGGTCCAGGCCCAAGACACTGAAGGGCTGTTCAGCGTGGAGGCTGCTCTGGTGGTGAGAGACAGCTCTGTGGGGAGCGTGACCTGCTCCATTCTCAACCCCATCCTGCTCCAGGAGAAGGCCATGGCCATTGTCATCCCAGGTCAGTGCTGCTCCCCACTTCATGTTCCCTGCAATATCAGATGCACCCCCAGCACTCTCAGGTGTGCTTGGCTGGACTGTGTCCTGATGGCATCCCTGTGGGGTCTCTGACTGCAGAGCCCTTCTTCCCCCGGGCCTCTCCCTGGAAGCCAGCTTTCCTGGTAATTCTGCCCTTGCTGCTGCTGCTGCTCCTGGGGGCTGCCTGCTACACCTGGAGAGAGCATTCTACACAGGAACTCCAGAAAGCTCTAGGTAAACTCTGCTCTCTCTCCCGAAATCTTCGTGTCCCCTTTATTGGTGACATTCTGGTTCTTAGCTCTAGGACACAGAGAGATTCATTTTTGTGTTTTCTCTAGGCACACATTTTGTTCTTAGGTACAGTTTATGCTTATATTTTTAATTCTCTTTCAGATGAGCTCCAGGCAATTCTAGGTAAGCTCTGTTCTCCCTCCTGAACTCTCTGTATCGCCTTCATGGGAGACATTCTGGTTCTTAGTTTACCTGATTCCTGTGTTACCTTTCAGACCAGAGGAAGGCAGCTTACCTGACTGGTGAGTGATGCTCCAGGGGTCCTAGATCCCTGTCTCGTGTACTCAGGGGCCCCTCCCCTTCGGTGTCTCAGCACAGACATGTGGACCATTCCCCGGGGTGGAAGTGGTTGCTGGTAGGAGGCAGGACCCTGCTCCATGGGCTTTCCAGATCTGGGTGCTGCTTTCTCCCCATTGTTGGGATCCTGGTGGGGTGGTGCCCTTTGAGTCTCCTGCATCCTGGTATCATTCCAGCCCTGAATTTCCCACCATGTTGCTGGATTTCTCGTCCTCAATTCATCTCGTTCTTGGTCAGCACCTGGAAGTAAAGCAGTGGCTCTGGGTTTTAATAAGTAAATGGACTCTTGAAGTTTAGGAGTGTGACCTCCTGCCCTTTCTCCCCAAACAACCCCAAGGAGAGTCTGTTCTCTCTGCTCCTGAAGATGCTGATCAGTGGTGCTAGGAGAGGATGGGGTGACCTTGCATGGGAGGGAGTGGGGGGACTTTCCCTCTCCCAGAGAGTGTTTATCAGTAGAAATACTGCATTGGAGGAAGATGGGCCATTTCTACTCTGGAGCTGGTGTGATATCCATGTTGTGTTTTTATTTCATCTTCCCACTAATTTCCAAGGAAATACTGAAATGTGGAATAATATGTTCATTAAAAAACATCTTCCAATATACTGTTTTTGATGCTGTGTAGCAATACTGAGTAATAGGTGAAGCAGGAGCTTTGAAGTCTTTGAGGCCAGGAGCTGGCCCAAAGCCCCACAGCAGCAGCAGCAGCAGGTAGGGCTGGGTCAGTCTGTCCTGCAGGCTCCTGACCTGAGCCATGGGTTTTCCCACCACCCCCAGTAGTCTGACAGGGCAGGAGGTCGTGACCTCTCAGCCTCTCCCATCCACCCTCTAGAGATTCTCACCTGTAGAACAAGAGGAGTCCAGGGCCCCTGGATCACAAGAGCAGCTGCTTGTGCTAAGTCTCACCTGTGTGTTCCTTTTCAGCCTGGAGGAAGGCCCAGCTGTATGCAGGTGAGTGGCCCTGGGGTCCTGGGACCCCTTTCCAGCCTCCTGTCTGCCCCTTCTCTATCAGGGATCCCCACCATGAAGAACCTGGGGTCCCTGGTCTTCCTTCACTCTGGAGCCTCCATCTGGGAACTTCAGGGTTCCCCTTGTGAGCTCAGACCTGCCTCCACTTGCCCTGTCCTCCCTGCAGGTCATTGGGGTCAGGACATGGTCACCTAGTCCTTTGTTGTGGGATTGGACAGTGGATGTCAGTGTGAGGAAAAGCTGCAGCAGGGGCAGATGAGTGGTTCAGGATTTGCTGATCTCTTGAAAATTCCAGACATCCTACTTCCTGCTTCGGAGTCATATCTTGCTAAGGGGTCCTGGGTTATGGATCCTTCTGGATTCAAAATTTCAGTCCTATTTTGGATCTAGTTTTTGTTTCCTGTTTCCTCTTGATTCTCTGTCTTCTCATGCATGCTCTGATTCATATTCTAGCTGCATTTTTCTTCTAATCCTTGTGGGTGCTGAGGAATCAGTTGTTTAGTGAAGATGTCTGAGTCTGGGTCAGAGCTTCTGGGGTGTTTATGTCTCTTAGGCAGGGGCCTGTGAAATTTCTGAAATTGCTGTAAAATCCAGTTTGTGTGTGTGTGTGTGTTGTGTGTGTGTACTTTTTGTGTCTTTATAACAAGATGCACAATGTATGATTTTTAGAACCATCATCTTTTTAAGGAGAATTCTATTTGACAGTCTCATGGTTGCTATTATTTGTTTTTTTTTTTTTTTTTTTAAGAGGCAACTATGTAGACTGGAAAAGAACACCTAAAATGGTTATAATCTGTTTCCAAAGAATAGGAGGGAAATGTGAAAGAAAAGTCTGGATGCAGATAGAAAGGGGAAGGAAGGAGAGGGGTGTGTGGGAGAAGAGCCTTCTAGAGGTTTTGGGCACAGTCACCAGTTGGAATCTGTGCTGTGCAGAAACTGTGCAAGGCTTGGGAATGAAACACAGTGGGCCTTTGGAAGTCCTTCAGATAAACTCATACTTTTAAAACCATTATGAGGTGACCATCTCACTGCATTGCCTCTCACATGAGCTCCCCCTTTCACCCCAGGGCAGGGTCTGCACAGGGTCCTGCAGGGAAGGTCAGAGATGCTGATGACGGGAGATCTGAGAGTCCTGAGCCTGAGTCACATGCCCTTTCCCTGATCAGGGGTTTGTTTATGGTCCTGGACACAGACCCTGAGCCACAGAGATGGGGGTTATTAGGGTGGGGCCTGGGGACCTGGAGTGTGAGGACCCTCCTGAGAGTCTCCCTGGTTCCCCTGGGGCTCATTTCCACACAGTGAGGAGCACAGAGTCATCTTCACCATCATTCCAGCCTTTGCTGAGTTCGTGTCTCATGCATTTTAGCATAAACTGTCCTTTGGCATGCCAAAACAATGATGTGTTTGAATGAAAGAAACACCAGTAATACACTAGAATCAACATTTTGATATTGACAGATTCACAGATGGATACATGTGTGATCTCGTATTATTTGTAAAATTTAACAAAAATGTTTTATAAAGTTTTGCTACAAAAATTGACTAGCACAGTGACATGCATACACAGTCCTGGGCACACTGTGTCTCACATTAAATGCCACTTTGATCTTCTCTTTTTGCTCCTGCTTGTTGCGAGCCAGCCGCAGCAGTCTGGGTGTCAGGGGTTCCTGAAGGATGGGAAGGCATCAGCGCAACTGTAGAGAAATGACAAGGGAAGGGGAAGGGAGAATGAGGAGATGAGGACACTTGATCAGGGTGCTGACATCATCCCGCTGAGGGTCTCAGCAGCCCTTTATTTATACATTTCAAGCAAACCAGCAAACTGTGAGTGCATAAGCATATGCATTAAGGCAGGAAGATAACAATCATCACATCATTCTCAAGAACAGTCAAGTGTCTATTTGCCCACCTGCAGAGATCATGACATTTATTATTTTTTGATTTAAAGAAGGCACAGTTGCTCAACAAAAGTGCTCTTAGAGTAGTCATTTACCTTAAACAACCACACAGTCATTTTATTACTAGCAAAAAGCTTACTCTACTACTGCAACTAACATTTCTATGTTTGCCATAGTGAAGGATTAACTAAGGGCTAGGGGAAACAAAGGGCAGGAAGTTACCTGGGGGAAGGGAGACAAAGGGATTTTTTCTAACTAACCTACAAAGTTTAGACTAACATATAGCCAACTGATTAAAGCAAAAAACAGAAGGCTTTTATTTAGAAATTATCATCTATATTGTTTTAATATCGATTCGATATTAAAGAACCAAGGGCCTGGAGGGCGTTAATGCCAGGCAAGTCACCCTGACTCTTCCCTAGCCCCCAGCTCTCAATTAAGGGAGGAATTCTCCTAATCTAACAAAAGGGTTTTCTACCTACTACTCCCCTACTTATCTAGTCAGCCTAGTTTCTGTATCTAACTTTAAGATCAAGGGAAAATTCCTTTTGTCTGTAAGATTGTTGATTGTTGTTTTAAGGAACTACAAATATTTCATCAGGGGCAGGGTTGGAAATGGTTACAGCTTTTGATTTTCAGAATGGTTATCATGTGACATATCAGTTGTTGTAACATTGACTATTTCCAAGTGCATTATTTGTGCTCCATGGTTATTAGCTTGACCAGTCATAAAATTGCTGTTGACTTATTCTTGAATGCATACTCTAACAGCTGCCATACCAATTGTCACCTCCAGGGGAATCAGCCCTAAACAAACAGGAAGAATTTAGCAGGAGACAGCTATGGTGCCTCCTGGCTCATTAGGAATTTTCTTACACTTGGAGCATGGATCACATCTGCCACGCAACTGCTATCCTTAAAGTAAAGGACTTTCCTTCTCCAATTAGCCCTTGCCTCAAAGGACCACATCTCCATATTAAAGACTTGGCCAAGGGATGTTTACAGCCTTTTGTTCCCAGAAGTTTTTTCACTTGTTAATGTAAGGCCAAATGTTGAATTACTGCCTTTTGGCAGAGAACGACTAATTTTATAAAAAATGTAATATTTGTATCATGCAGTGCCATTTGCCATCAAATTGGTTATTCAGTGATTGATTAGTATTTGCAGTTTTACTTTTAAATGTGTATTTTAGCAATGGTAGAAACTAGCCATAAACAAATGAGAAAAATCTTGGAGGCAGCTAACGAGATTCCTGATTTTTCAGAAATCTGCCCCATGCCTGGACTTTTGTCAGACGACATGAGAGCATGGCTCCCCATACCTGCTGCTCCTATTCCTGTTCTCCTCCACACCCTCTTTTTTATTGCTGTATGAAGAAGTGTGGTGTAGAGCATTAGAGCTGGATGTCAAATAATGTCTCAGCAAAAACAAGTAAATTTAAAATCTTTTTTTTACAAAGAGGTCACATATATGCCACACAATCATTGCATGTGATCTTGTTTCTTATCATGCAAAGATGGAAATGCCGTTTTCTCTGAGTGAGCTTGTGCAGGTGTGGCTGGTGTCACGCATTTACACACCATGTGCACAAGAAGATGTTGTTCCTCATTCCTATAAATGTGCATCCTGGATTCTCCTCTCTCCCCCTCTCTCCTCACACAGTTGGGAAACACACACTCTTCCCTGACGACCTCTCAGAGTCTTGCTATGTCTGACCTGAGTGTTGGGGAATGACCTGCTTCCTCCTTCCTAGGCAGTCGTAGGGTGGAGGATGATATGGCCTTGGGGCTCTGCGGGGGAAGGGCCTGTGCTCCCATTTCAGTCATTTCAGGGGCTCCACTGGGTCACTGGTCTAAGACCCTGTGTGGCACATACTTAGGGGGGCAGGCATGTCCTGTCTGGTCATTAGTGCTTGTGGGTGACCCTATCTCTACAGCAGAGTCAGGGTCTGGGTCTGTCTCTGGTCAGCAAATTGATAAACCTTGTGTTTCCTTCTTCCTGTCCCACATGCTTGTCTTCCTCTCCTCACCCGTCCTTCCCTCCCTGCCTGCTCTCCAGGGCCCTCTCTCTCCCTCCATCTCCCCTCAGAGAAGGTGACACTTTGGGGTCCTCACCTGTCCACATACATCATGGGCCCCTGGTGCTCCCTCCAGACCCTCCCCTGCCAGGGCCCTGCTCACCTCCTGGGCCCCACATGGGGCATCAGAGCTCCAGCTGCTGCTGACACACGTCACCACACCCTGAGCAGTGTCACCCACACAGTTTATCATCTCACACGCCTGCAGGGCAGACACCTGAGACCGCGTCCTGGGACAAACTCCAGGGTCTGGCAGCTGCTTCCTTCCAGGAGCCCCTTCCTCTCCCAGGATCTAGGGCCCCTTGCATTGACTGGACCCCGTCCTCTGTCTACACAGTCTGCCATGCAGTCTCTTTATGGGCCTGCTGCCATCACCATGTGACTGTCTCTGAGCACAGGTGCAGGTTTATGGCTGTTAAGGCTCATGGAATTGGTTCCCCCTCATGATCCTCAGTAATATTCCTGTTTCCAGGTCCTGTCTCTGTCCCACCTGCAGGTTTCCCTTTCCTCTATCAAGGACACATGTTTACAGGGTCATGGGATGAGGACATGGACACCTTTGAAGTCATTATTCTGCTTATACAGAGAGGCTTTACTTTGAAGCTTCCATCTTTCTGGGCTCTTCTTGAAACAGTTGTGTCAAGCCAATGTGTTTGTTCTTCTCTATCTACAGGGATGGTTTTGTTTCCACCACACATGAAAATGTGGAAAGTTGTCACTAGTGTTTGATCCTCTTAGTGTGTGTCCATGTTCCCTATTCTCCACGTCTCTCTCCTCCTTAGGACCCTCCACCCCCTCCTGACTGTGCAGGACCCTCTGCTGCCATGTCCTTGGTCTCCTCACTCATGTCACTGTCACCTCCATGTCAGCTCAGTCACAATGTAGCTCTCTTTCTGTCTTTGTTTTTTTATTTGACAAGGAGATTTATTCAGAAACAAGTTGAAAAGCATTTCCTGTTGGTTTCCTTGTGTGCAGTCTTCCCCAGGCAGCCCCTGCTGCTACTTGTGTGTCAGGTAGGCATGGGCTGGATTCTGGTCTCTGTCCCCAGGGCTTACAGATAAGCTGCACATTCAGTTCTCTTAGTCTCTGTAAGTACACACAGTCCTTGATGTTTGATCTCCATAAGATTTTTTCAAGTAAATCTAGTTTGCAGGATGGGGTGTGGCTGATGACTTGAGAAGCATAAATGGATGGTCATTCTGTTCAGCTGGTGTCCAGCCCCTCAACCCCTGGGTATTAATCTGTATGACTTAGCTTTCATGGAATGTTGCTGTGGGGTGTGTGTGTATCAATCAAAAAGATAGATGTATCAACTAAATTTTTCGAAACATTTTCCCCATCAATCCTGTGTCCCTCTCCTGTAGAAAATGAGGCGTGGGCCCTGATGTGTCAACATCTAGAGTCCCTCACGTGACATGTGTATCTCTTGCAGATTGGCGGAAGGAGCAGTTCTGGGCCTGTGAGTGACTCTTTCTCTCTGGGGCTGCTCAGCTTCTGGCCTTTCCTTCCGTTCTCTGTGTGGGCACAGACTCTGCACACTCCGTGGGGGTGGGGTGGGTGCAGCTGTGATGTCACACAGCTGGGATTGGGGGGGATGACTGGTCATGGGTGCTGAAGGGGCTTCTTTGTCCTTGGGGTACAGGTGGATCCCCAAATGCCCTGTGACATATCTGACCCCCAGTAAAACTTGTGGCTCCTTCTCTTCTTTGGGAGACTGTGTGCTGGAGACACAGGCTCTCATTTCAGAGCAAATATCCTTCCCACCACACTGCTAAGAATCTCGGGTGAGGACGTCTGTGCCCTTGTTATGGGGCTGAGGGTGTGGAGGGCCTTAAATAATGGGTCCTTCTCGCTGCAGGGCCTGTCACTCTGGATCCGGGTTCTTGTGACAACAGAATTGTAATCTTTCATCACAAGAAGAGCCTGTGGTGTTCTTATTATAACACACAAAAAGGATTATTTCTTTGTGGTCTTGAGGGCATCACTTCAGGGCGCTGTTACTGGGAAGTAGAGGTCGGGTATCCATACAGAACTGAGTGGGGTCTAGGGGTCTGGAGGAAAGATGAAAAAACAAGACACAATGATCCGACCCCGCGAGATGGGTTTTGGGTTATTGCCCATTTCAACAACATTTTCCAAGCCTTTACTGACCCTTCTACTCCACTACCCCATAGGCACATTCCCTACAGAGTGGGGGTTTTCCTGGACTATGATCACGGGGACGTCTCCTTCTATGACATGACTGATGGCTCCCACATCTTCTCCTTCCCTCCTGAGTCCTTCTCTGGGACTCTCCTTCCATACTTCGGGTGTTATTTTGGAAATGTGTCCATGACCATCTGCCCCCTGGTGGCTGGGCCCCAGAAGCCCTCTGTGCCCATGAACAATCCTCCTTCTCTGGAGGAGCCTGTGAGTCCCTCAGGGGAGGGGATCCCCTCAGGCTCTGGTGTGGATGGGGCTCCCCCAGGGCCTGAAGCCCCCCTCCTCCCCTGCACCCCTGAGACCGTGTCCTCATGAGGCTCCTCCCTACCCAGCCCAGGCCTGGGCGCTTCTTAGGGCTTCAGGTTCCCTGTGGCAAACCTGTGAGTGAGTCCCGAATGCTGGAGTCTCATCCTCCTGCTCTGGGTGCTGATTCCTGGGCCGTGGCTGAGAGAACAGTCAGGTCAGGCCTTGGGCTGAGGACAAAGAGGATAGAATTGACTTACTTTGAACTGGTTTGGGATAATTTGAATTTTTCCATCAGAACCCATTTTTCTTTTGGTAAAACAAATATTTCATGTGGTTTTCATGCTGTTAAGACAAGAAAGGGGATCAGCTGAATTATTCTCCTAAGTTTATTGGAGTTTACTTTATCCAACTCGAGTTTGTGCAGAGGAACCCAGAGTCTAATGAAGGGTCCCCAGGTCTATTTTGAGGGATCTGGACTCTCTAACTAGGAAATTTAAGCATCCAAAATATTTCATGGAAATGGCATATGATGGATTTAGAAGAGCCTAATATTCTGTGTTATATTCTTCTTATTTTGGAATGGATGAAATACAACTGTATTTTCCCTCCAAAACTCAGTAAATTTATATTACTAGTGATAAACTTGCAGTGTGTTAATTTTTGGAACTCAAAAATGTAAGGTTGGCACAGGGGGCCTGCTGAGGGCCCCAGGCTGTAGGCACAAGGAGGGGCCTTGAAACTGCAAAGGGAATTCCACCTTTGCCTCAGCTCCTAGAACCAGAGGCCTCCACCTGACACAAACAGGACCTGATAGCGATCAAACAGAAACCACCAAAAAAAAGGTCTTTGGTTCCGAATACCCAGTTTGCCACCCAACCTTTCTCACTGTATAAAAGGACATCTCCCCCCACAAAGGACACAACTTCACTGAGCCCCAAGGGGGCCCGCAAATCTTGCCCAGCACCACAATAAAGTTCCTGCCTGTCAGAAACTTGGCCTGGCTCTCCTTTCTTTACACACCAATCCTTTCAAAAAGGATCTGCTTCTCTTTTTGTGTCAACACCTATTGGAAAGAAGAAAACTGCTCCCTGAATTAAGATGAGAATAAAGAAGAGACTTTCAGAGTTGGGGTGACATGGGGGCTGTGACCTGAGCTTCAGGTGCCCCTGTACTGACTCGGTTCTTCTGTTAGGGGGAAAGGATGTCCTGAGCTAATCCCATACAGGCTTTGTGGACCCCATCCCCACTCCAGACTAAAGCCATCAAGACATTGGGAAAGACAAATCCCATCACCACCAAAGGGAAGGTGGCTGGGACCTAAGCGTGGAGTTGGGCAGCCAGGTTGGATATAAAAAACCAAACACGTGGGCCTTGGACTGGCCCGCTATCGCTCGCCTCCCTGCTTCACGGCTCCTGGCTTGCAGCCAGCTCTCAGCGCGCCATTTGGGATTCCTGATCGGCAGATCGGGTAGGACTCATTTAAAACTTTGTCTCCCACTTTTCTCCCTGAGCTGTACATTTCCTCATTTCCCCTTCCCTTGTAAATAAACCTTTTATGAACCTTTCGCGTGTGCCTGCAGTAGAGCATTGATAAGTCCTTTTAAGTGCGCGGGTGAGGACCCACATTCAGGCACCCCGTTTTGTATCTGGGTTGCTCTACACCAGATTGGCACCCAGCGTGGTTTCCAAGTTATACCCGCGGTTGACCAGCCCAAAGTAACATTCCTTGTGTTGGTCACCATAAGCACACTACTTCTGCAGGACTCGCAATATAATATTTGTCTCAACACCTGAAAAGTCTGTTTTTTCCCTGTGTGTACAGCCCTTGTGGGTGCATTTTTGACTCAAATATGGCCTCAACCATGAGCCTATACAGTTTCATCCCTAGCCTGAGTTCTTTCAGTTTCCTTCCGGCCTTGAATATGAGTAGCCTTCTTCCATTAAATATCACCACCAGTTTCATTAATATAAATACTTTGATGAAGCCTGGTGTATGGCACTTGATTTTATTATTGTGTACATACATGGGTGGTTTACAAGCCATCCCTTTACAGTCTGTGCTTCTGGGTGTTTTTTTTGGTAATATGTGTAAGCACCATTTGCTACACTCTTGTTTCTGTGAGAGGTAGATGTTCTACTTCACATACTGAGAATGTGCAACAACACATTCAGGCTCTTAACTTAGCCATGCAACAACAACTTCAGGCTTTTAACGTGGCCATGCAACAACAAAATCAGGCCTTTGATTTAACTATTAAGTGCATGAGGGATGAGAACCGTAACATCTTTGAGTCAGTTTATAAAAGCATACAAGATCAAGCTTTTAAAAATATGCAGGACCGGATAGAGGTCGCCCTCCATAAATTGGATATGGCAGAGGCTTGCCTATTTGCAGCGGACCAGCACAGCAGTAGACGATGGGGCTGTCTCAGGGTTGAGAGACTGCGCAGGGTGGTCAGGGATTCGGTTAAAGAAATGACAAACAGACACACTTCAAGAGAGAGTGTAAATCTGAGTGCGCTTTATTTTTGTTAGTGGCCAGTATATATGTTTTTTCTAAAGGCATAGGATCGGTGAACATCAAAGAAATCAGCTTGCTCATAGGTTTAGCTTATTATTGACAGGGCAGTGATTTATGTCCAAAATACATCTGGACCTAGCCACATTCCTAAGTAGACAGGCTATTAACTCTTTCTTATATTTTTGTTGTACTAATTACTACTACTACTACTTACTCATGTTTATTCATAATTAATTGTCATGGGTGAATTTATATTATAATGCAGTTAATATCAAAGGTACTAAAGTCAAGCACATAATAGAAAGATTATTAAACTAACAATTCTATTATAACACAGTGTTTAGTAATGTTTCATTTGCATTAGCCTAATTATTAAATTATGTATGTTTTTTAATTAGCAATCAATGACCAGAAAAAGGAAAGATTTTAGAAAGATAGTTGTAGCAGAATAAAGTTTGTGGGCCTTGAGAAAGCGAGATAAGGTTCCAGGTGGTCAGCATTTCTTTTAATCATCTTTGTGGCAGCTTCTGGTGGTCGTTATCTCTTGGCAGGCATTCGGCTTCTCTGCATCTTAGGGAGTTTGCTGTTCTCCCCCTGCGCGCATGGTTCCTTGCCCACGCCGGACCTCAGGGACCATGGCAACAGCCATTAGCCCTGAGGGTCACTGCAGGGGGAGGTGCAGCACCTATTGGCACAGAGAAAGGATAGCCCTTCCCCTTTCCATGAGGACTGCCAGCGGGCAGAGTTAGAAGAGGAGGAGAATCATATTTTAAATACTTTAAATACATCAGGACAAAATCCACTTCCATGTGACAAGGCCCCTCCTGTGCAGACCCCTGAGGCTTCACAACCTCCACTGCCCTCTGGGGAGGACGCTAAAATGGCGTCTCCTCCCCACACTAGACTCGGCACCCATTTTGGCAGGAAGGATCACCCTGAGGCAGGACAGTTTCCCCTTCACCAGATGCCAATGGGTGGCTTAAATGAACATGGGAGACCTGCTGGGTACTTTTGGTCGCACCATCCGTTCAGTACTGCGGACCTCCTAAATTGGAGGAGCTCTGTTCCCTCGTACCGGCAGGCTCCTAAGAGGATGGCGAATTTGTTTGCCTCTATCTTCGTCTCCCACCGCCCTACCTGGGCAGATATACAGTCCATGCTACATACTTTATTAACTCTGGATGAGCGGAGAATGGTATTTAGGAAAGCCAGGGAGGAGGCTAACCAACTCCACCAACAGGATAGGCAGTCCCCAGAGCCAGAGGTTGTTGTCCCAGAGAAAGATCCTGGATGGGACCCTAACAATGGACGAACGGCGATGTTGGATCTGTATAAAAAAATGTTTATTGGTAGGACTGCAGCAGGGGATCCCCAAACAAAAAAACTTTAACAAAATATTGCAACTCGAGCAAGAAGCTAATGAGGATCCATCAGAGTTCCTTGAGAGGATTATTCAAACTTACACTAACCACACAGATATAAACCCAGATGCCCCAGAAAATGCTTGTCTGATCACTATGGCTTTCATTACCCATAGTGCCCCAGACATAAAGAAAAAGTTAGCTAAGGTGGGCGGTGTCACAGAGATGAGTCCGTCCCAGGTAATGGACCTGGCATTTAGGGCTTATAATAATAGAGAGGACAGGAGACCGAAACCTGCGACTGCTTTCTTAAAAGAGAACACAGATCAGGGTTTCAGGGAAACAATAATGGACAGAGACGTGAACCCAAAGGAAGAAATCAGTGTGCTTTCTGTAGGGAAGAGGGACATTGGAAGTACAGTTGTCCTAGATTACAGGGAAGCAGAAGACGCAATAATTATAGAAGGCAGGATAGAAGACAGAGAACACCAAGATATGATGATTCATATAGGGGTTACAAGAGGGAATATAGGAGGAGTACACAGAACCAGGAACCAAGGAGAGAGGAAAGAAGACAAATGTTAGCACAGAGTAGAGGCTCAGATGATGATAGGGAATACAGACAGAGAAGGAATTGAGAGCCCAGTACAGAGGAAAGGAGACAAATAACAGCACAGGGTAGAGCCTCAGGTGAAGATAGGAGGGAATATAGACAGAGTAGAAGGAATATGTAATATGTGTAAGTGCCATTTGCTACACTCTTGTTTCTGTGAGAGGTAGATGTTCTTCTTCACATACTGAGAATGTGCAACAACACATTCAGGCTCTTAACTTAGCCATGCAACAACAAATTCAGGCTTTTAATGTGGCCATAAACAAGTATGGCCAAGTGCAGAGGAAAGGAGACAAATGATAGTTCACGGAGAAAGTTCAGATGCAGAATAGGGGTGCCCCGGAACTCAACTAGATTTAGAGAAGCCCATTAGAATAACCCCCTCAGAGCCCCGGGTAACACTCGCTGTGGGGGATCATCTCATCGATTTCTTGGTGGACACTGGAGCGACATCCTCAGTTTTGAATTCAAAATTAACTAAAATGAGCAAAGAGAATGTAGCAGTCACTGGGATTACGGGAAGGCCACAACAGAAAGCCTTCTTACAACCTTTGGAGTGCCAGCTGGGCACCACACAGCTCCAGCATAGCTTCCTATACATGGAAGAGTGTCCAATCCCTCTACTTGGTCACGACCTTTTAAGTTAGCTAAACGCACAAATTATATTCTCACCAAAACATCAGAGGCTTCACCTACATGTACCTCCAGAGCACGCTCTGCGGTTCCAGATGTTACTTACTCAAGATGTTCCACCGAAAGGTGAAATTTTACCTCCAGAAATTTTTGAAAGAGTAAGTAAATGGGTATGGGCTGATGGAACCCCAGGACATGCGAAAAATGCAGAGCTTGTAAAGATAGAAGTGATAGGGCCTCCCCGGTAGCGCAGTGATTGAGCGCTGGGTTGCGAAGCTGCCCACGGCCTCTGTGGCACCGGTTCGATCCCCGGCTGCTCCCCGGCCACCAGAAGAGGGTCCCACATGGCGTGCAGACCTCTCCTGCCGCCCGCTGCTCCCCTCAGCAGTGTACTTCGATCCTTCTGCCTGCTCTGCTCCCCGCTCTGGCTCTGGTGAATTCTCTCACCCTCCCGCACTTCTGACTGTACCCAGTGCATGTATAAACAAAAACAAAAACAAACAAATAAATAAATAAAAAGATAAAAAGATAGAAGTGATAAAGGGGAGCAGAACCCCGAGGAGGAAGCAATATCCCTTAAAGGAGGAGGCCTTGAGGGGAATTGAGCCAGTATTGAAAAGGTTCCTTCAATCTGGATTAATTCGGCCCTGCCACTCACCGTACTACACTCCGATTCTGCGAGTGAAGAAACCCCATAAGGCGAGTACCGTTTTGTCCAAGATGTAAGGGCCATTAATGACATTGTTCGGGATTTACATCCCACCGTGCCTAATCCCTACACCTTATTAACTGCCATACCCGATGACTTTGGTTGGTTTTCGGTATTAGACCTGAAGGATGCCTTTTTCTGTATCCCAATAGATGTCCAGGATCAACCGCTTTTTGCCTTCGAGTGGCTATACCCTAAGTCCAAGAACACTCTCCAGTATTGCTGGACTGTGCTACGACAGGGGTTTAAGAACTCCCTAACTATTTTTGGGGAAATACTGGACAGGGATCTCAGGAAGGTTCAATTAAACCAGGGCGTATTGTTGTGATACATAGATGATTTATTGATTGCAAGTCCAGACTACAAATCTTGTCTGGAAAATACCATTGTGGTACTGAAACATCTGGCAGAAAGTGGCTATAAGGTGTCACCTCAAAAGGCACAGATCTGTAAACGAATGGTGACGTATTTGGGGTCTGAAATTAAGAAAGGTAGACGGAGCTTGATGACAGAAAGGAAATAAGTGATTTCAGCCCTTAAAGTCCCCAGCAACCGGAGACAGTTGCGCGGATTTTTGGGTATGGCTGGGTTTTGCAGAATTTGGATTCCTAACTTTGGATTACTAGCAAAACCCCTTGGGCCTCCCCGGTGGCGCAGCGGTTGAGCGCTGGGTTGCGAAGCTGCCCGCAGCCTCTGCAGCGCCAGTTCAATCCCTGGCTGCTCCCCGGCCACTGGAGGAGGATCCCGCATGGCGCGCAGACCTCTCCCGCCGCCTGCTGCTCCCCTCAGCAGTGTACTTCGGTCCTACTGCCTGCTCTGCTCCCGGCTCTGGCTCTGGTGAACTCTCTCACCCTCCCGTGCGTGCTTCTGACTGTACCCAGTGCTTGTATAAATAAATAAATAAATCTTTTAAAAAAAAAAAATAGCAGAACCCTTGTATGATGCTCTCAAAGGCCTGGACTCTGAAACTTTGTCTTGGACCCCAGAATGTCAAAAGGCCTTTGATGAAATAAAAGTAAAGTTGATCTCAGCACCAGCATTAGGGCTTCCAGATCTTAGGAAGCCATTCAGACTTTATGTACATGAGAGACAGGGGGTTGCCCTAGGAGTGCTAATCCAATTGT